ACCACTGGGAAAATCTCCGTCAACATTCTTCCTAAACCACAACGCGGGTAGGCTGTCTCGAATACTAACTTTCCCGTAGCACATGTAAGAGAATTTTGTGACTTTCCTTAGCTATGAGAGACTCCAGATGGACGTGTGATGACTTCTAAACACTAGAATGAGCACTGAACATGTCCAACACCCATAATGAACATTCCCGACGACAATTTCTCACAGGTAAGGCTAAATCGTCACCAACCCTAGCTCCTTGCCACGAATAAGTACTAGATAGTTTCACGTGGTTGTCTTGAGCTACAAGATGCTAGACTATCTCAAGTCATATAGGTGGACACACTACACTGGTGACATGAAAAGATGATGCCAACAATAGGGACTTTGCCGAAGAGACACTTGTATTGTTTTTTTTATTTTTATTTTTTATATTTTTTGAATCATTGGTCTGAATCACCCAACACCATAAAATATAAATTACTTCCCCATTGCATTTGCCTTACAATACATGCAACCATTAACACGACAAAATATTTTTTGTGACAACCCTAACTTTGATACAAATGTTTTTGTTATGTAGTGGTCCTTCGAAATTAATTTTTCTTGAGGTTTGTTTCTTTCAGTAATGCTTAGATTTGATTAAAGTATTTTATGGCATATTGTAATTTGATTTAATGTTCAATATTCTCAGTACTATTGACAACTTCTAATGTGTCGGTCGTCGTCAAGAACACTCTTAACAAAATGTGTTTTGCTTGCATAAAAAATCATTTCCTTATATATGCATTATGCTAGGATTGTATTTTGTTAGAGGGTTAGAACTTAATGAAGCACCAACATGATCGTATTGAGCATATTTTTCATACTCACCATGTGCAGTCCAATACAAAAAATTATGTTGAAAACCCTTACAATGCAAATCCAATTTGACTTCATCAGACATTAGGTATGCTTGGTTTTTGTGCTTCACACATGGATATCAAAATTTATATTCTTAAAGGTAAATGGGAAGTTGTGATGCTACTTGTAAAAATTCCTCTACAACTCATCATTGAGTCATTTTTTTGCGAATACAACATACTGTACATTCATTATATCAAATCTCAAATATCTATCAGCTGCCTATATGTAGATTTAAAGCTTAAGATTTTTAAATCATCACACACATTCATTACCCATATGTGTGTGCAGGTGCACACATACACACACATACACACCACAAATTAATTCAACACACACACACACACACACACACACATGAATACACATTACTTAAACCTACATATATAACATATACACATATAAATGTAAATACACACACATACATATATACATACACATATAGACAAACCCACAAACACATTCGCACTCATACACTTAACCTACATATAAATATACAATTACATACATAAAAAAAACATACACAAAAATGCACACATAATCATAAATACGCACGGACACACAGACTCATAAATATATAACCAAACACATAATTATATACATACACACACAAATAAAAATATACATTCATACACATACACACACACTCACTTAAATATAAACACCCACACATAAATATAAACACACATAAATACATTACCACACATGTAAACACACACACACACATACTTATAAATGGGTTTAGCCGACACTCCCTCGCCAAATGACAAAAAAGCAAGAGATATGCAGATTTATGATTTTGGGATTTAAATGTTCAAAATTTGCCTTCAATTATGCTTAAAAAGGTTTGCTAAATTCACAAAGAGGGTTAATTTATAGGATTTATTTTTTTAAAAATTTTTCTAAAACATACCCACATTAATTCCTACATAAAACCAAACACCTCATATCACATGAATAAAGCATAATAACCAAAACCAAAAGGAAAAATGGAAGAAACCGGTAGAGGAAAAACCAAACATTTTAGAAAATGTAGAATAAAGAAGGAAAAAAGAAAGATACCTCAGTAAATGGAAGTAAATGAAGAATCGATGGTTGTAGACGACAACCACAGGGTCGTCAGATGGTTGCCAAAGAGGTGGGGTCACGGGTGGATAGGGTTTCGAGGGAATGAATAGATAATAACCAAAACCAAAAGGAAAAATGGAAGAAACTGGTAGAGGAAAAACCAAACAATTGAGAAAATGTAGAATAGAGAAGGAAAAAAGAAAGATACCTGAGTAAATGGAAGTAAATGAGGAATCGATGGTTGTAGCGACAACCACAGAGTCGTCAGATGGTTGCCAGAGAGATGGGGTCACGGGTGGCTAGGGTTTTGAGGGAATTAATAATGGAGAGCTCGAACAAGCCCTGCGAGCATGAATTTAGATTTTAAGGTCTAAACGTCACCTACTTCCGACACTTTTAAGTTATAATGGTAACATTGAATACAATCACCACAACTTCCGACACAAGTTTTTACGTTAGCATGTGATGAGGCAAAATTCATCTCGAATGATCATTAAAAATTAGACGTAAATATTTGAGTTGGAACTTGTCTATCGTAATTTTAGATGCTTTGTTGTTTCCCTTAGAGATCACGACAATTTATGGCTCTCAGAAGACGTTATGAATGGGCAATCAAAGTGCAACGTGAATATAATAGTTGATAGATAGAAAAATGGAAAGATTTGCATGCATTTAAAATATTGGTATTTATTATTTTTTGAACGGACTTCAATTTATATTTCCGTAACATATTGATTTTTATGATTTCTAATAAAGGAACGACTTTGACACCTCACAAAGACCTGTTGACTCAACATCATTGTGTTAAATTAACTATTCAATCATAACTAGTTTATAGTACTTTCATGTACCCAAAGTTGATGATTAAGAAATCATTCAACTAGATTAAACAAATACTTGTATAAGTCATTACAAAGGAGGAGAAACTCTTGAAGTCATGAGTAACTGCATAACTTGTATATCATCAAATTAATCAAAATAACTTGCATGTCATTATATAAGAGATCTCACTTCCTACAAAGGCTTATTTTTTCCTATAAAGTTTATGCTGTTATGATTGTGCACATTCTCACACCAAAATATAGATTTTGCAATCAATGATAAGAACTCATTACAAGTGTTTTTTCATATGAATTAAACTGTCAAGGTAATTTGACAACATGTCGTAACTACTCTTTAAATTCATTTCGAAAGTAGAGAAAAGTTATAATATACGAGGTTCTCGGAGATATGCTAAGTTAATCCATTTAACATAAAAAGAAAAAAAAAATAGTATATTAAAAAATTGTAATAGTTATTGCATATACGATCTGATAACTACTTTACATATTATTTTAAATTGTGATCATGGAGTGTATGTAACAAAATATATGATATACCTGATCCAAAAGAATAACATATACATTTACACGCCCCATTTATGTACACTTTTATTTCATAAGAAAGTAAAGTCATAAGTTTATTAATTTTTCATACACAAATAATAATTCTTTGTATAATGCATGCCCTTTGAAGATGAAGACATAAATGTCACAGTTATTTCCTATGGATGTGGTGTTATAATGCTTGAATTGCATTGTCATGTATGCGATGACATATCCATTGAAATATATTTTATGGTCTCACAGATACTATGTTAAATATATTATAATTTGATATGTAACAAAACCTACAATTGCATTCCTTGCTGTATCAACTTGCATTATAATTTACAGCCGAATCACAGTCAAACAACCTTCCAATGATGATCAAACATAACATTCATAATGATTGAAGTTTAAACGCTTAATCTTCCATCATAACTCAAATAATTTTCAAGATAAAATAATTATAGAATAACTATTAAGCTATAATTGCACCATAATGATTGAAGAATATTTAAATTAATAGCAAGTAATGATGTAAGCATATGTCAATCATGACTGCACCATATTTGAAATATGAGTCGAATCATTTTGAAATTATGGAAAATCATATTTGAATCAAGATTAACTCATATTTCAATCATGATAAAGTAATGATCAAACTATAGTCAAATTATGATCAATTTTTTGTAGGACATGTTTGAATAATTTTCAATCACAATTAAAATAAGATCTTCTTCGAAATATTACTATCATATCATCCTTGAATTATAGTCACACCATATTGGGACAATATTCAAACCATGGTCCAATTTCATGATCGAATAATAATTAAATTATTAGTGAACTAATTCAATTTAGGGTGCATTTGGAGAGGCAGTGCGGTGCTACACAACAGTTTTCATGTTTGACAAAATTGCGTTTGACCTGTGCTTTTGAAAAGCTGCCGTTGAAAGCTACATTTTTCTACTACTGTTGGCTATTTGCTGTGGTTGCTAGAAAGTTGTGGTAAGTTTTTTTCAAAAAAACATTTTTAGTTATAGCCATCATAGCTTTTTGAACACGAGCTTGTTCTTCAACAACTTCATATCTGTTTCTTCAAACAACTATTGCTGCCCCAAACAGACCTTTAGTTTGACTAAATAAAAAGTCCCATGAATATAAAAAATCATTTCTAATTGAGGGCATTTTGATCATAACAAAGCTTCCAAATATATTTTTCAATAAAATAAAGAAAATAAAGGGCAGTGATATTTCTCAAATTTTTTCCGTTATGAGCTGCGAAGCCAGTCTGGAATAGGGCTGTCAAAACGGCTCGTTGTTCGTGAACAACTCGTGTTCGGCATATAATCTAATTGACTACAAGGCTACAAAGATTTATAATCAATTAAAATATTGATTAAGAAAATAGAATAAAAATTTTTAAATTAGATTCAAATGATGTTGTAATATAAATAATAGTTTTTAAATCTTGCTCAAATTCTTATTGTCTTATGACTACATCTTAGGGTTGTTAAAAGGATTTTTTGTTGGTGAATAGCTCGTGTTCGGTTCGTTAAGCAAACGAGTCGAACACGAACATAATTTTTGAGCTCGAAATATAAACGAGCCGAACACGAGCTGTGCTTGTTTACACCCCTGGTCTGGAATATAGCAGTCCCGCTCATGGCCTTTTATTTGGTTATTTATCACCGAAAGGGAATTTTTTCCGGAAGGGGAGCATCACAAAGGTCGCGAGAATGGCGTCGCTTTCACTCACTGGTGCAAAAATCTCTCCGTACTCAGGACTGCTCCGCCGCGATATTGTTCGTTTTTCCTCCCCGTTCACCGTAACACTAAACCCGATCTCTGCGCCCAGATCAGTTTCTAGGGCGATGCTTTCTCCGCGGAAAGCTTTGTCTTCATCGAATCTGTCGGGATTCGCAACATGCTTGCTCGATTTCCTCCGTGCTTCACCCGCTACTTGGGAGTCCTCTATTGCGAGCAATCTCCTTATTTTCACACTTGGATCGCCGCTTCTCTTGTCCGGGCTTTCTGCATCGGGGATAGGGTCTGCATTCTTAATGGGTGTCTTGACTTGGAGAGCCTTTGATGCACCTGGGTTCTTCCTTGTGGCAATCTATTTTGTTGCAGTGCGTTGAGTTCTACTAATGTTTTTCTCAGATTTAACTTTATTTTCGTCTACTCATGAATGGAGTTGTCGTTATTATGTAATGCATGGAAGTTGCATTGTTGCAGATTGAAAAGTATTGCTTATATAATTTGAAGAGCAAAGTGAATTGCAGAAAGATAATAAATGGAAGGATACAGAGGAGAATGAAGTGTAAGTTCTTTAATGCGTAATTGTTTATGACAAATGAGAGGAGAGAACGAAATACAAAGGTTAGTTACGGCGGCAATCCTGTTTAGCATGTGTGATTGTGATGTCATGATTTGTTATACTTGAATGATTAGGATTGATTTATATACAATTTTGGTAAGCAGAATGGGCAGCATTTTGTTATTGCTGCTTTATGCTACTATCGACTCCCCTTAATCTGATGGTCTAAGAATGGAGTCTCAAGTTGTCCTGTAGATTGAGGAATTGGTGATTGGAGAGAGATTTGGTGAATATATTAGCAGGTTGATCTTGAGAGTTAACCATTATTGAGTTATATCTTATTCAATCTCAATTGGTGTGATAATCTACTTTTGTTTGGTTTTGGCATGAAAGATAATAATGTTGATAGTTTTACAACGGGCATATTGTCACAATACAATGGAGTGGCTGATTAGTGATTATATTGAAATTAGCAGGCCTGCAATCCAGATGCTGTCCATTGTTGCAGTACCTCGAACAAGAGATTCTATTTTGATGGATAATCTAGCTATAGCGTTGTGTTTCATGACACACCAAAATATTAGTGTTTTTCCGAAGAAAAAATATTTTTCAATTGCTGTTTTTTTGTGCATGATGTCTTCTGCCTAGTTTGAATCTTAAGAATGCATGCAGTTGCATGTTTCCGAGATGAATTAAAAGAGATTGAGATATGTTTCCTTTGAGATATTGAAGTAATAATTTGAAATAGTGAAAATGAAGGTTGAGAGGATGATGCATGTGTTGGCACAAATAATTTATAACGATAGATGGATCTTATCACACAATCGTAAGATATTATAATGAGCCAACCAAGTGGCAATATAGCGTAGGATTGCTGTAGGCAGAGGAGGTATTAATTGCATGAGAGTGCCTATATTCCAAGATCCTATCCTAATAGATTCCATTAATTTACCATTGAGATAATGGCAATCATTTATTTCCGCTCCATGAAGAATACTGACAACTTATTTGGGTTGATTGAAGTGTTGGAAGTATGTACTTTGGAGTGACCTGTGTCCCAAAGAAGAAAGAGATATGCCTCATGTTTTGTATATTGAACCACAACAATAACAACAACAACAAGCCTTTATCCCTCTAAGTGGGGTCAACTACATGAATCCTTTTTCTCCATTGCATCTTATTGAGTATCATATTTTCATTTAATTATAATTTTTTATGATATATGCCCAATGCTTTTTAGTTTTAACTCTGTCTTTCTTAACATAAGTCGAATCTAAAACATCTACTCTCCTAACTGATTATCAGATGGTTGACGTTTAATGTGACCAAACCATCTAAGATGATTTTTTCCAATCTTGTCCGCCATTAGAGCTACACCGACCTCATCATGAATATATTCATTTCATATTTTATCTCTAAGTGTCAAGCCACTTATCCACCTAAGCATTCTCATCTTTTGAACACTTTACTTTGTTTTATGCTTCACTTTTAAAGGCCAGCATTCTATGCCATCGAGCATTTCAGGTCTCACCGTCTCACCACCAGGTCTCACCACCATCTTATAAAATTTTCCTTTAAGCAGTACTTTTCTATCACACATTAGGCTTGATGCATTTCTCCACTTCAACTAACTAACTTGAATTATACTAATAGCATCCTCATCTATATCACCATCACTTTGTACAATAGACACGAGATATCTAAAGCGTTCACACCTTTTAATGATTTGATCACTCAAAGTTACAACTCTGCCACTAGAACTACTACTATTCCATGTATTTAATTTAAGATATACTCAAATGAAAGCCTTTAGACTCCAATGTCAACCTCAATAATTCAAGTTTTTCTTGAACTCTTTCTCTAGCCTTTTCCTCAAGAAAGATATTATCAACGAATAATATACATTGAGTTACTCCGATCCTTGATGTAATCCAATTTAAATAGGAAAATACTTGGTCAATCCTCCTTCTGTTCAAACACAAGTAATAACTTTTATATACATATCTTTAATGATTTGAATACAAGTCATCAACACCTTTCTTCTCTAAAACCCTTCAAAGGAATTTTCTTGAAACCTTATCTTAAGCTATTTCTAAATCAATAAAAATCAATTGTAGATCATCCTCACTGTGTCTGTACTTCTCCAACAAACCTCTCAATTAATGTATAACATCCATAGTAGACTTGCCCGTCATAAATCCAAACTGATTATGATAAATCTTTATATCACGTCTTAACCTACGTTCAAGTACCTTCTCCCATAATTTTAAAGTATGACGCATCAAGTTAATTCCTCTATAATTTGCACTCTTGTGCATCCCTTTTATTCTTAAAAATGGGGACCAAAATACTCTTCCTCTACTCTTTAGGCATTTTGTTAGTTTCTAAAATAATATTAAAGAGTTTAGTATGCCAATAAACTCTCAAGCCTTCTAAATGCTTCTACACTTCGATTGAGATATCATCAGGACATACAAAATTTTCACTTTTGATTCTTTTTAAGCTTCATCAACTTCTTTTTTACTAATGCGAAAATAACAATAAAATATTTTATTATTATTATTATTATTAATATTAAGATCACGATCACTAAGGTCGATCGTATTTTCAAAAGTTTTATTGAAAAATTTATTGAAATAGCTCACCCACCTAATTTGAATATCTTCCTCTAAGAAAATCACTTTTTACTTTTAAACTTTAATACACTTTATTTGAATTAAATTGTTTTTTTCTTTTCTTTTTGTTTAACTAGTTTATACATATATTTTTTTACCCAATTTAGCATCTAATATATTATAAAAATCACTAAAAATAGAATTTGTAGCGTCACACATTGTTATCTTTGATTCCATATGAGTCATCTTATATTTTTTCCATTTATCTAAGTTCTTACATGTAAATCAATTTTTACAATACAATTTTTACATTTTATCTTTTTATGCACATTTTTATCCCACTATCAACTTTTTTTATCTGTAAAAAAATTTCATTTTGATTCTCCAAGTACATCTTTTGTTACTTTTTTAGTAGTACTTGTTACTTTATCCCACATAGAATTAGCTTCTTCATGAACTTCTCAAATCGTAAAATATTGAAGTTTACTCATATAAATAATTTTATTTGTGTTTTTTAGGCGCTTCTACCTAATTTTGACAATGTTTCACTGTATTTTTTATTTTACAACTCATCTGAAAATCCAAAACTACTAATCAATGTTGAGTACTTAAATTTTCACTTGGAATGAACTTACATTCTTTATATTACCAAACAATCTCTTTTTCTCATAAGGAAATAATCAATTTATGTATTTTAGATTTATTCTTATAAGTAATAACACGTTCTTTTCTTTTCTTAAATAAAGTATTAAGAATAACAAAATTACGTGCTAAAGCAAAATCTAATGTGGTTCTATCTTCTTCATTAATCACTCTAAAGCCATAGCCACAATGAATAATTCTAAAATCTTCTACCACTCTACCAACATGTTTTTTTAAATATCCTCTAATATAATTTTTTTTAAGAGATCATTTGTATTAATTCTTTTAGTTCATTCATGAATTTTTCCTTAGAACCTATGTTTAAATTGAGCATAAGCACTTATAGCATTAAAAATTTTAATATCAACAACAATCATAAATGTTATAATTCTATCTTCAATTCAATTAATTTTTACAGCATTATCTTTCAAACGCTTATATATAATTATACCTACACTAATTCTAAACTACTCCTACCTGAATACCAAAGTTTAAAACCTAAACTGTTTATCTCTTTAGCTTTTTCTCAAATTCATTTTGTTTCTTGAATACATAAGTTATTTATCTTCTTATGAAGCATACTATCTACTTATTCCGTTAATTTATCTATGAGAGTACGGATATTCCAAGATCTTATCATAATATTAGGTTCATGGACTAACTTCTTTGCCCACATTAGCCCGTAATGCTGGAACTCTTGTTCATTTGACACTGCACCCGAGAGTCCGCGTAGCGATCATTGTACACTTTTCATTGTATTCAGAGCATACAGTGCGTTGCTTCTAGGGGACGTCATAATATTTACACAAGATTTAAATGGTTCATGCCATGATTTTTTAACAAAAATTTTACGCTAACTGTCGACTATGAAAATGTTTTTGTAAATTATTGCATTACATCTCCATACGTCGAAATGCAATGTTGAAGAGTGGTTAAATGGCAGGTGGTAGATGTAGTAAAGGATGGTTTATGACCTTTCTCTAATTGTGTTGGAGTACATGTGTATGATTCTTGCCTAATACATAGAGCTTGATTCAAGTAGAGTTGCAAATGAATCAAAACATGTTGGATAGGAGATTGCTAGAGCTCTAGCTTGTTTATCAAAATCACGTTTGAGCTTGGATTAAGCTAGATTCAAGCTTAAGATTGCTGAAACTTAGTTCTTTGAAATACATGCTTGTTTGAGTTAATTATTGAACTGAGCTTAGTTCATTTTATGATTGTTGAGCTTTAGAAGAGCAACTCGTTTGGAAAAGAAAAAATGTCTTGTTGAGCTTACCTTAGAAAATGAGATTTTAATTGAACAAGCTTTTAAAATGAGCCTTATGTTGTCAAGCCGAGCATTATGGAATTGAGCTTATTTGCACTCTACTTCTTCGGTCGATGCCTTCTCCAACAAGATTCAGATGCAAATCGTCTCTTTTTGTTCACTCGTCATTGGTCTTGTCCATGTCCTTCCAAGGAAGATCCCTCGCATCCTTCTCCATCAAGCTTCCACTTCCTTGTTTCTTGTCCTCTTCGGTTTTGGGATTTTAGGTGGATAATCTTCTCTCCT